TCATAGTAACATTATTTTCACCAGATATGAATATAGTAAAGTTTCCTGTAGCATTTGGATAGTATGTTGTTACAACTAAGATATATTTTGTATTTTCCTCAAAAGTTCTATCAAATTTCAATTGTCCTTGATTACATATGCCACTATGTTGATCAATTAAATTACCAAATGGTTGTAATGGATCAAAATGATGTTTATAAAGGTAACCATATGTATCGATTTCACTTTTACTCCAGAGAACATATGAACCTGTTTTTTTAACATTAATTTCTAATGTTCTATAATGATAACTTGGTTTTTTATAATCACGACAATATTTTTGACTATCCATTGTGAATTGAAATGAGTATTTAGATTGAATTTTCATTGATGTACCTATTCAATCACAATAATATAATTTCATCCGAGAAAAATACGACTCATGCTAGAATATCTGCGCAACAAAATTGTCATGAAAAATCTTTTTTGATGAGCATGGTTTCAATGATTTTTAGTGTGTGTATCTATCAGGGCTACGCAACAAACACAGAACTTTGGAAGATTCTAAAGTTCTGTGAATCTGATACCTAACTGAACAACTTCGTTTATCAATGTTGATTTCGCACATTTGGAGACTTTTTCAGACAAAGTTTTGATAGAAAACTACGTTTTGGAATCAACATTACAAACTGAGTCGATTCATATATATGTCGTAGGCCAAACTCAGATTCAGGCCAATCTTGGATTGGACTAGGCCATTCGTGGAAAAATCTTAGTTTCGCCTAGTCCAATCCAAGATTGGCCTGATAAGCGTAGGCGAATCCGAATTTGGCCTACGACATATATTTTCAAAAATTTTTAGAAAATAATCTCTTTGTTCTCCTCCTCCGTTTTCTTTTGGAAAGTTATCGTGTAAATGGCCAGATAGGCACAGCGACTGATTAAAGTACTGCATCCACTTTTTAACTAATTACTTACTCAAAGGTTTGATATTCATATTCTTCAATCCTGATATATAAATTGTAATGTTTCCAATTTTCATTGGATAAAATGTTGTGACAACCAATATATATGTTGTATCATTATAAAGAGGAAGTTCAAATTTAAATTGTTTATCATCAACATCATCATTATTATTATCATTATCATCATGTTTGAAAAGAAGATTATCATTTGGCTTAAGTGAATCAAAATTCTTTTCGTAAACATAACCATATGTATCGATCTCAGCATGACTCCATATTGAATAATAACGATTTTCTTGTACTTTAATTTCAAACGATTGATAATAAAAACTTTCCCAATTACAATTTTGAGAATAGAATTGACTATTTTTGGTCAATGATAATAAAAACGTCCATTCAGTAACAGATGACATATCTAAAAATAAATAAAGGAAAAAAAACATTTCTATGTATTGTCATTGAAATTTCTACCACAAGAATTTTCAAAATATTGAAATTTTTGTATTCGATTATTTCCAGAATCTACGATAAACATATTTCCAAAACTATCAAAAGCAAGATTAGATGGAAATGATAATTGAGTAAATTTGACACTAATTCCACGACATCCAATAACACAATGAACACCATTTGTTCCTGAACGAAGAATACGATGATTATATGAATCAACAATAAATAAAAATTGTTGCAAATCTAATGTAATACCAGTTGGACATGAAAGTGGATATTGATGTTGTGCTGATGATGTATCTCCTACTTCTGTTATACCAGATTTTTTTTTCGATTCAAATCTTTGTATTCGATTATTTCCACAATCTGCTACAAATGTATTGAAATCTGAATCAACATAAATTCCATGTGGACTATTTAACATAGTTGCAGTTAATCCTTGATCACCTGTACCAGCTACGGGAATGGTTGGTGGAGTAACTTCATTCAAGTTTTGTTTAATGACTCGATGATGTTTAGGCATTGAACAATATAGATGATGATCTCTATCGATAAATAATCCAAAACAAGATGAAGAAATAATAGTTTCATTGCTGAATTTTTTTGTACTCATAGTCCATTTGTTTATTCGACCATTTATTCCATTATCAATGTGAATATCACCATTTAAAGCAACAAATAAAGAATATAAATCAGCGACACCAGAAGGAATAATTATAGACGATTGAATATTAGATTCATCCCAAATTAAGATTTGTTTTTTCTCTCGATTGAGAGAATAAATTGAATCTTTTTTATTTATAAAAATACTGAAAGGTTTTGAACCAATTGTTGACTGTTCAGCAAAAGTGATTCCATTTTGATTCCAAGCAGGTTTTGAACAAAATCTTGGTATACTTAATGAAAAACCTATATAGACAAAAATAAATAACTCGTACGTACACATATCTGATGTTACGATCGAGGAAAATATCAGACGAATACGTATTTATTCGATGAAAATTCGAGATATCCATCTTGAGGGTGAGAATATGCTGGTGTCATGATCAAAGAAAAAATTGTAGAACAAGTGCTCTGAAGTCTATACATTGATACATTCGTTCTTGATCGCGATGTTCCTTTTTAAATAAATATATCGTTTTTCGAAACTTGAACTCATTGTTTTTCTTTTTCTCCTTTTTCTTATTTTTTTAATCATTTTCTTACATACATTTTCGAAATACTTTTCTTTCATTACCTAGTTAAGTATTTCATAATTGCAGTTTTATTATAACTTACCGCAAAGATTTTCTAATTGAACTTTCATAATGCGATTATTTCGGGAATCAGTATGAAATATATTTCCAAAACTATCAAAACTCATTGAGTTTAGAAATGGTTCATTAAATTGGAAACTATTCCCGTCACATCCAATTATACATCGAAAACCACATGGTCCTTCTCCAACAATCCGATTATTTTTTGCATCTACGATAAACAAATATTTCTTAGCATCTAATGCAACTCCAGTAGGGTAGTCGAGTTCAATAATTGAATGTGGCGATTGACGACAAGCAACAGTGATGCCTTTTGTTTCTCCTAATGGAAATAATTGAATTCGATCATTCCCAGAATCTGCTACAAATAAATCAAAGTTAACATCCACAAAGATTCCCCAAGGAGAATGAAGCTGAATCGAATCAGATCCGAGTCCATTTCTTCCAATAACAATCATCTCATTCATTGAAGAACTTTTCATGTTTCTTCTTAGCACTTGATGGTCGGCAGTCACTGAACAATAGAAACGATCGTTGATATCGATAAAGATTTCGGTACAATGGGGTGATACATTCGTGATAATGGTAAAAGTATTTTTTTCCGAGATCCATCTCATCAGCACTCTGATGTAAAGTCCTGCAATAAAATAAATATCACCATTCGATCTTACAAATAGAGATGAAGGACGTTCGAAGTTGACTGAAATATTTTGTGTTGGATTGATACTATTGTTATGCCATACTAAAATTTGTTTCTTATCTTTACTAAGGACATAAATTGAATTTTTAGTATCAACAAAAACATCCGTGGCCTTGAGACCAACAATCGATTCGTTAGCAAATATTATTCCATTAGGATTCCAAACTGACGATGAAGGTAAATTTGGTTGATGGAGTGAAACAGCTGAATTATACGTATAAAAGAATATTAATTGACAGTTTTCTCTTTCTAAGCATATTCTTCGTAAAAGAAACTCATTCAAGAATTAGGGATATACTAGAGACGAAGTCGATCTATCTCGTTTCAGACACTAAATAATAGTATTGATTCTAGTTTTTCTAAAGACTCAATATACTCATCTGAATAATTCATAATCTCCTGCAGCTCTGTAGAATTTTCGTATTCTAACACTATAGAGAAGATTCAGATTTTTGATAAACTCATACTTTTAATTGTTAGTTTTAAAAACAAATAAGTTTTTCTTAATGAAAGTATTTTGTTCAATGTAAAAGAAAAGCGAAATTCGTTTTAAAATAACGAACCTAATGTTTCATAATTGAAAATAAGAAAGAATATATAACTGTTGTACATTGTTCAATAAAATAACCGACAGTGTATGTGCATTTTTGATGAAATATTTTTAAATATTATAAAGATTCAACAAGAGTTTTTATATAGTTTAATATAGTAGAAGCTCAATTAACCTTCCAGAGTTTTCTGTTGATCATTTCTGAAGATCATGTATTATTACATATGAGTTTTATTAACAATTTTTTTAAATATGTCAAAATATAATTGATCATATCGAAGAGAATATATTGTTATTACGTGTGACTTTAAATGTAGTTTAACTAGATATACACGATTTTTGCAATATTTAATAATATAAAATGAAATAAACTGTCAGCGCGCACTCCTTTGTATGTTTTTTAAAATGTGAAACATGTTGAAATTTGGTATACTTGATGACTTTTGATTAGTTATCTATCTATAGTTGTTTATGATTTACAATAAATCATATGGTCTACACAAGGCTATATACTTAGGTGTATCCAAAAGTAATGTCGTCTCTATTTTATTTCTTCATTAAAAAGTCAAAAGAAAATTGTTATTCCACAGAAAGATAGAGAAAATGAAGCTCTATTTTTCTATGCT